TCTCTCTTTCTCTATCTCTGCTTGTGTCTTACATAAACGACTAACTACCAAATACCAGCGACTTGCCTAGGATACAAAAATGGGATTTTTGAGCAACAACAGTGGCAGCACAAGATAACAACGACAACGACACCAATAACGACAAATCGGCAAAGCGACACAGCACCTGTCAGAGCAGCCACTGGTCTAGAGTGACTGCTTCTTTTGTTGTTGTTGTTGTTGTTACTGTGCAGCTGTCTGTTTCTTTTGTTGTTTTTTGTTGTTTTGTTAGTTTGTCTGTTTGTTTTCCGTTTGTTTGTATGTTTGTTCTTTTATATGTTTGTTTGTTGTTGTTGTTTTTTGGTTTATTTTGGAGGAGGGATATTTCCGTTCTTCTTGGGGTCTAGACTTGAAAGAAAGTAGAGTATTAAAAATCTTCGGATTTTAAATACCTGGAGGCCGAGGATCTGGGCTCAGTGATAATCCCAACTGTTGAGGAAATATTCACGTGCTTTCACACTTTCAGCTTGAATTTTGGTCACTTTTGTTAAGAACAAATTATTTCAACAGCTACAAAAAGCCAGTTTGCTTGTGTCCTTTTTTCCAAAAACTATCATTTGTAAGAAACTGGCTCCACCGGTCGGAGACAGTATTATTGACCCCAGAAAAGATCACCGTCTCCTATTTGAAGTTCTGTCGTTCTTTGGCAGAAAGGCAAGTCGTCGGGATAATCAATCAAGTTCAATTCACCATGTACCCATTGAACACATACACACGCAGTCGCGCACGCACAAAGAATGGTAGATGATCTATCTTCAAATATCACTTGGGTCTCGATTGCGCTATAGAATATTGACTGGCTGGTATTACCAACGACAGCGGGTTCAGGGGTTTATTAACCACCGCCCGGCTTAGCTCTAGGCCCATGCTGGAAGGGGTGGCGGCTTTGGACAAAAAGGCTGCGCCAAAGCCAATCAGTGTTTAGGTTACTCGCAACCAACTGCAATACTTATCTTAATGTGTTGGTCCAAATAGCACACACAATAAGTATAATAATATGTCAAGAGGGAAGTGAATTGGTTTTGCAAATAGGATTCCAGACTCACTCACTTAATGCAGGGCATAATCACACGGTACAGTACGGTACAGTACAATATGGTATGGTATGGTATGGTATGGTATGGTATGGTATGGTATGGTATGGTATGGTATGGTATGGTATGGTATGGTATGGTATGGTACGGATTTAACGAATGATTCCCTACAATTTGATGTTTCAGTATTTCGAAAGAGACAAAACAAACGCCTAATAAGTGAACACCACAGGTCAGAAATTTTTAGATTGAACATGTGCGTATAGTGTATACCACGAACAAGTCTACCCAAAAGTTATCCAACTAGCTTCCAGTAAATAGGCCAGGTTAAATTCACAAAAAATCAAATCCAGCATTTTTTTGCTCATTGGTTACAGCATACTCAATAACAATGCAGATGACTTTGACTCAAATTCCATGGGCTTTCAAACTTTGGCTGTTTTTTTTGTTTTTGTTTGTTTGTTTGTTTGTTGTTGTTGTTGTGTGTGTGTGTTTGTGTCTGTGTATGTGTGTCTGTGTGTGTTTATGTGTTAGCATGTATTTGTGTGTGAGATTGGGTATGTGTGTGTGTCTATGTGTACGTGTGTGCGCGAGCGCGCGCGCTCGCGCGTATATTTGTGAGTGTGTGTCTGTGCGTGAGTGTGCGAATGTACTTTTGTGTGTATCTGATTACAATTCTGCGGGCCCAAGACTCCAAGGGAAATTACCAATTATCAGTTCTAAAAAGATCTCGAGAAAGACCAGTCCCTTGTGATATTTGGAATCAATCTTACAATTTGGAGCTCCGGGAAACTTAAAACATTTTTTTCCGGGGG